GTTAGAAACATCGATGAGAGAGAGTCATCAATCAGCTGCCTCTTGCACACTCCCTACTGGGGATATGCCCGCAACCAAGGTACATGCCCTTGACCGGAATCGAACCTGGGACCTTTCAGTCCCCAAGCCGACGCTCTATCCACTGAGCCAAACCGGTTTCGGCTGCATATAACTCTTTAAAAAAAATATTTTATTGGTTTTTTTTACAGAGAGAAAGGGAGAAGGATAGAGAGTTAGAAACATCGATGAGAGAGAAACATCGACCAGTCGCCTCCTGTACAAACCCTACTGGGGATGTGCCTGCAATCAATGTATATTGACTGGAATCAAACCTGGGACCCTTCAGTCCACAGATCGACGCTTTATCCACTGAGCCAAACCAGTTTCGGCTGCTCTTTTATTAGATAGGATAGAGGGCTGGTGCATGGGTGGGGGCCAGCTGGTTTGCCCTGAAGGATGTCCAGGATCAGGGTGAGGGTTCCCTTGGGCCGTGGGGTGGCCTCAGCGAGGGGCCTGTGGTGACTTGCAGGCCAGCCACACACCCCCTGTAACCCAAGTGGAGGCCCTGGTATCTGGAATTTATTTACCTTCTATAATTGAAACTTTGTAGCCTGGAGTGGAGGCCTAGGCCATCCAGGGCAGGTGGAAAGCTTGGCTTTCTCCATTACCGAGGGAAATCCCAGCCTGTTCACTCCAGTTCTGTGGCTGCTGCCATTTTTCTTGGGATTTATCTTCTATAATTAAAAGTTTGTATTCTTGAGTGGAGGCCTAGATGTGTGGAAAGCTTGGTGTGTGGAAAGCTTGAGTGGAGGCCTGGGTGTGTGGAAAGTTTGGCTTTCTCCAAGCCTCCCTCCTGTTCTCTGTGGCGGCAGCCATCTTGGTTGGAGTTAATTTGCATATTCGCCCTGATTGGCTGGTGCATGGGGATGGTGGGTGTGGTTTGTGGTGTAGTGGAGTGATGGCCAATTTGCATATCACTCTTTTATTACACACACACACACACACACACACACACACACTAGAGGCCTGGTGAATGAAAATTCATGCACTGGAGTGGGGGGTTCTCAGCTGGGCCTGCCACCTCTTATAGTCTGGGAGCCCTCAAGGGTAGAAGGCAACCTGGCAATCAGGGGAAGGTGATGCCCCCATCATACCTCTGCTGCTGCCACTGTTGGCAGTGCAAACCTCGGCAGGCCATGGTTATCTGAGCCATGGGTGGCCATGTTGGCTGGCCAGCTGACATCTGATGCTTGCCTGTGCCTTGGGCCGACCCTGGGGTGCTGGGGGCTGAGGGTGGGTCTGGCCCCAATGCACACCTACCACTCCCACAGTGGGGCTGAAAGGACTGGGAGACTCCAGAGGGGCCGAGGGCACTGGGTACTGCCATCTTACGGTCACCACCATATTTGTAATTGCATTATGGTCAATTTGCATATTTCCACTCCATTAGAGAGGATACTAGTGGCCCTGTGCACCAATTTATGCACATTGAAAGGAGATTAATTAGAAGAAATATTTTAATATTGCTATTTGCCCTTTCTCTATAATAGAAGTGTCAACCAAATTCATGATCGACAGTGACAGATGGAAACGCAAGCATGAGATTGGCGCCAGTGAGAGCTTTATATGTATTGTGCATGTGTGAGTCAACTTATAGTCAAATATATATAATAAACTTGCTTAATTAGACCTGCTTTCTGATTTAGCTAAACTTTTTCCAGCCCAGTGAAGCACCCCAAATTTTCTTTCAGGTAATTTTAAGGTGCACCATTTCTTACTTCTTTTCAGTTGGGTCAAGTTTCTAAACTTTCTAAATCTCCATTTTCCGGCTATTGAAAAGAAAATAGGATTCTACTGAGTCTCCTATCTACCTACTCAGGACTTCTGTGAGGATCAAATGAGATGAGGCACGGGAAAACGCTTCACAGACATTAGGTTGAAGTGTAAAATGTTTTCTCCTATGTTCCTGGAACTCCAAGGAAGGTAGTCGCTAGGAAGAGGAAGCCAGGTGTTGCTACGTGATGTCATTACCTGGCATCCACAGCAATTGTTTCCAGGCTGGGCTGGGCTATGGGGTGCATTTTGCACCATGGGGTCTTGGCAGTGGCAGCTATGATCTAGTGGGCTGTCGCTCCAGGGTGATGGTGGGGCCTGTGTCCCACTGGGGGAAGCTGAGTATTGCTTTATGGGTGCCAGGTACAAAGTGCTGTTTTTTTTTTTTTTCTTTTTCTTTTTTCTGTGTGCATCATGGCAGCTTCTGCATTGTGCGTCATAGCGATGGGTCAGAGGGTAGGAGGGACATATTAGCCTTTTATCCTATCTAATAAAAGAGTAATATATAAATTAACTGTTACTCTGTAACATAGATGGCAGAGCCCATAGTGGCCTGGGTGGGATGCTGGTGGTATCACCCCTGGCAACACAAGCCCAGCATCTGCACCCTGTCCTTGAAGAGGAAGGGGAGGGGAGGGAAGGGGCCTCAGGCTTGAGTCCGGGCGAGAGATGCTGGGCTGAGGGGCTCCCCTTCCCCCCATGCACAAATTTTGTGCACCGGATCTCTAATATATATTGATTTCAGAGAGGAAAGGAGAGAAAAAGAGATAGAAAGGTCAATATGAGACAGAATCATTGATTTTTTGCTTCCTGAATGCCCCCTACTGGGGATTGAGCCCACAACCCCAGGTACCCTTGACTGTAATCAAATCCAGGACCCTTCAGTCCACAGGCTGATGCTCTATCCACTCAGCCAAACCAGCTAGGGCCTCACAAGACCTTTTTAGGAAACAGACAACAGACTAGTTTAGGTGAAGCATAGAACATTTGGTAGTGAATGGAGGGGGTGGATTGGAAAGGCAGGTTGTGGCTAGAGCTTTGTAATTATTTTTCCTTTTTTGAATATATTTTTATTGATTTCAGAGAGGAAGGGAGAAGGAGATAGAGTTAGAAACATCAATGATGAGAGAGAATCATTGATTGGCTGCCTTCTGCAGGATTGAACCTGCAATCCAAGCATGAGCCCTTTACTGGAATTGAACGGAGGACCCTTCAGTCCTTCGGCTGATACGCTGTTCACTCAGCAAAAATGGCCAGGGCATGGCTGAAGCTTTAAATTCAGGCTGAGGACTCTAGGTTGAGGACTCTAACCTTGGTGTCTGTCATATTAATGGAAAAACCTTCTTTTCCAGAATGGTGGGCTAAGCCATGGGGCCCAGGAGCCTCCAGAAAGCTCCTCTCTCTAAGGAAGAAGAAATTGGGGTGGAGTCGGATTCTTTTATTTTGTTAATCCTCACTGGAGGATATTTTTTCCATTGATTCACTTTTAGAGAAAGTGGAAGGGATGGAAGAGGGGGAAAGAGAGAGAAAGAGAGAGAAACATAGACTGGAGGGAGACGTGAGACGCACCTGCCTCTACCGGGGCTGGGGAACAAGAAACCTAGGTTTCTGATCTTGATTGGGAATTGAACCCATGACCCTTTGGCCATGGGCCAAGACTCCAACCACTGAGCAAACTGGCCAGGGCTGGAGTTGGACTCTTGATTTTAGGACCAAATTAAGGCTGAGTATGTAGCAAAGCTATTTCACTCAAAGTAGCCCTTGGGGAGATGATACTCTCAAGTAGAAACATCCATGAGGATGAGCTCTTCTGCATGGTGGTTCTGCTAAGGGCTGGATGATTGGAACTGTTTTTTTTTTTTTTTAAAAAAAACCTAACCAAGACCTAGCCGGTTTGGCTCAGTGGATAGATCATAGGCCTGTGGACTAAAGGGTCTCAGAATCCATTTCGGGCAAGGGAACAAGTCCTGGTTGCAGGTTTGATCCCCAGTAGAGGGCGTTCAGGAGGCAGCCAATCAGTGATTATCTCTCATCATTGATTTTTCTATCTCCCTCCCCCTTCCTCTCTGAAATCAATGAAAATATATTTAAAAACAAACAAACAAACAAATAATAACCCTAATCAAGAGCTGCTTCAAAAGGTGAGCTGTCAGAACAGGGATTGGTATGGTTAGCTTTTCAAATATAGATACTATATGGGGATATGATTTTTCTAGTTTATTACTTTGCCATTAAATCGCATTATAATTGTTGGTGGGTTGTATGGTGCACTATAAAGAATATAAGCAAGGACTTCCTTATTTTCTATAAGTGTACAACTGCTCTCAACACCTTTATACCACTGCCACCAAGATTGGCTGTGGGGAAATTCATTACTTTGCTGGAAGAGGAATTGGAGGAGATGTAAGAGACCAGATCTTTGTTGAGCTAATTTTAAAAAATTTTCTTTGCCAACTACAGTTTCAGACATTTTCATAAACACTATATCATTTGACACTCACAACACTGCTTGGATATAAGTACAGTTTTCTCCCTTTTAAAAATATATATTTTATTGATTTTTTACAGAGAGGAAGGGAGAGAGAGATAGAGAGCTAGAAACGTCGATGAGAGAGAAACATCGACCAGCTGCCTCTTGCACACCCCCTACCGGGGATGTGCCCACAACCAAGGTACGTGCCCTTGACCGGAATCGAACCTGGGACCTTTCAGTCCGCAGACCGACGCTCTACCACTGAGCCAAACCGGCTTCGGCCAGTTTTCTCCCTTTTGTAAATAAGGAAATAGGTATTGAGATAGGCAAACTTACCTTAAATCCTGTAGCTAAAAGGAGCTACATTTTAATGCAGACTCCCCCCCCCCCCCACATTCTCCTCTCTGCCTCCCCTTCCCACTTTAAAAAAAAATATATATATATATTTTATTGATTTTTTTACAGAGAGGAAGAGAGAGGAGAGAGCGAGAGAGCTAGAAATATCAATGAGAGGGAGACATTGACCAGCTGCCTCCTGCACACCCTACACCAGGGATGTGCCCGCAACCAATTTACATGCCCTTGACTGGAATTGAACCTGGGACCTTTCAGTCTGCAGACCGATGCTCGATCCACTGAGCCAAACCGGTTTCGGCAACCCTTCCCACTTTTATAGAAAATTAATTTTATTTACCTGGATTTGGGTTGCTAGAGACCATGGACATCAGCATTAATGCCAGCAACAGGAGAAAAGAGACGAGAACTTTCATTGTGACTGTTGGTGCTGCTGTAAGTTGCTTGAAGAAGGTGTGGAAGGTTCCCAGATAGAGGCTCTGGACTTCTTGGGACGACTCAGGCCACTGTACTTGGCTTGTCGCTTGGCTTGTCGGTTTGTGCTTTAATCCTAGGCCAGTGTTCCCATTTGAGGGTGAGAACAGGTAAGTGACGCTAGCTTTGTTAGGTAACAGGTTGGATCATGTGCTTTACGGGAATCTGGGAGGTAAAATTGGCCAAACAAAAGACATGAAGCATTCTTAAGAACATTAGAAGTAACTGATGACTTGGCAACTATACTTGTTCCCTCCCCTCCTCCCTCCCACCTCCATACCTCTCAATGTGTTATGATTTCTTCCCTAAGCCTTTTTGCTCCTTTGAATTTCCTTATACCTTTCAGAGACTCTACTAGCTTAATATATTGTAGGAAATGAGGATGCAGGGTTGGCAGAAGAGAGGAGAACATAGACTGTTTCTCCTGTGTGTGTTCCCGCTCCCATTCTTGGCACACAGTATCACCATAGTGGTGGTGTTGCCTGGGAACTTGTCCTGTCCTCACTCTGTTTACAATTTCCTTCACTTTATATAAGGTGGGAAGCAGACATGACCAAGGAGGAGAGGCTATACTCTCTTGCCAGAGACACGGGAGCAGCGGGTCAGACCAGGCCTCCTTTTTGTTGGTCAGGAAGTGGCTTAGTTACTCCAGTCTAAAGGAGAGGGAGCTGGGTTGATGGAAGATCTTCAGGACTTCAGGTACAAGAGGGTTTGAGAAACAGGAACCACAGGAGGGAAGGTGTTTTCCCAGACCACAGCTCTTGGCTCCACACCTTGTTTGGAAATACAAGCAAAACAAGGAGGTATTACTACTTAGAGTAAACACTGAGGATTATCGAATAATAGCACTTACCTTGAGTCATCCCAGAGACTTTAGGAAATGTGCTCAAAGAAAGGCTTGAAGGCTGGTTGGTAATTATGGGGGCCCAGGGAAAGTTAATAAGGAAGCTCCCAGGCAGGAGTGGGAAAAGGTAGTGTGACTTTATTTCATCTAAGAGGAGGGAAGAGGCAAGGCATGAGTCAAATCCTTTTTGATTTTTTAAAATATATTTTATTGATTTTTTACAGAGAGGAAGAAAGAGAGATAGAGAGTTAGAAACATCGATGAAAGAGAATCATTGATCAGCTGCCTCTTGCACACTCCCTACTGGGGTTGTGCCCGCAACCAAGGTACATGCCCTTGACCGGAATCGAACCCCGGACCTTTCAGTCCGCAGGCCGATGCTCTATCCATTGAGCCAAACCGGTTTCGGCTCCTTTTTGATTTTTGTTTGATTATCTTTAACCTCTCAATTTTCATATTATTCCTGCCTACTGACAAGTTGTAGAGTCTTTGCTACTACAAAATTTATAAATTATCTGCAGGGGGTCAGGCGCTGTACTGTCAGTAGAGATTGTCCTTCAGTTAAGGTTAGGGGTTGGCCTGAGCTTGGTCTGATATAAACCGCTAATGTGGTTTCTCTCTGGAAAATTCTAACAATGTTCTCTGTCCTTAGGAGGCTCAAGTCTAACCAGGGAAATGACATTCTCTTCATCAAACCTGTGATATAAGTGAAACCAAATTTCAGAAGTGGCAGGAATTCACTGTGGCTTGGGTCAGGTGGAACTGGAACTGGGTCTCACAGGATGGGGTAGGATTTGGGTTGATGGAGGGCAGAAGAGGGAAGTGCAGAGAAGGAACATGACACTAATTGGGTGTGGGTCTTTGAGGACAGGGACTGTGTGTGTGTGTGCGTGTGTGCGTGTGTGTATCCTATATATTAAGAGTAATATGCAAATTGACCATACCTCCGCTACACCCACAAGCCATGCCCACAAGTCATGCCCCCCAGCCAATCAGAGTGAGTATGCAGATAAATCCAACCAAGATGGCTTTGGCCACAGAGAGCAAGAGGAAGGCTTGGGTTTCTTCTAGGAATGGAAGAAGCCAAGTTTTCCACCTGCCCTGGCTAGCCTAGGCCTCCACTCCAGGTTACAAAGTTTCAATTATAGAAGGTAAACAAATTCCAACAGAAATGGCTGCAGCCACAGAGCAAGCAGGAGGTTTGGCTCCAGGCTACAAAGTTTCAATCGTAGAAGATAAATAAATCCCAGATACCAGGGCCTCTGCTTGGGTTGCCACATGGTGTGGCCAGCCTGCAAACCACCACGGGCCCCTTGCCCAGGCCACCCACACTGCAAGGAAACTCTCACCCTGATCCAGGATACCCTTCAGGGAAAACCAGTTGGCCACCCATACACCAGGCCTCTTTCCTATTTAATAAAAGAATAATATGCAGATTGACCATCACTCCAACACACAAGGTGGCTGCTCCCATGTGGTCAAAGATCCTGTCCCCATGTGGACATAAGATGGTTAGCAGGGGAGGGCAGTTGAGAGGGACCAGGCCTGCAAGGGAGGGCAGTTGGGGGCAATAAAGCCTGCAGGGGAGGGCAGTTAGAGGTGACCAGGCTGGCAGAGGAAAGAAGTTGGGGGTGACTGGTCCTGCAGGGGAGGGCAGTTAGGGGTGACCAGGCTTGAAGAGGAGGGCAGTTAGGGGCAGACAGGCTGGCAGGGGAGCAGTTAGGCATCAATCAGGCTGGCATGGAAGTAGTTAGGGGGTGATCAGGCTGGCAGGCAGAAGTGGTTAGGGGCAATCAGGAAAGCAGGCAGACGAGCAGTTGGGAGCCAGCTGTCCTGGATTGTGAGAGGGATGTCCGACTGCCCATTTAGGCCCAATCCTGGGTGGGATTGGGCATAAACGGGCGGTCGGACATCCCTTGAGGGGGTCTCAGATTGGAGAAGGTGCAGACTGGGCTGAGGGACAACCCTCTCCATGCATGAATTTTGTGTACCTGGCCTGAACTTATATAGAGCCTGATACACTGGGAGTACTCTACAAATGTTTGTTGAATTGAGAGATATTTTTGTGAAAGTGCAATCCATTACTAGGAAGAAAATTTTAGTGATGAATGGTTATGCATACACATGGAAACTGATGGGGATTCTCTACTTTCCCATGCAGCGGCAGAATCAGGGAGCTCCTCCTCAGACCTTTCTCTCTGTCCCCTCATTTGTTTACTTCTCTGCTTTCCCCATGTCCTGGCTCCCATTCAGTTCACTCTGGCTGATTTCCTTCTCCAAGGACTTGGGGTAGGATGTATGGGCCTATGTATTACAGGAGTGGGCTTGAGATCCCTCAAACTCATTGATATTGATGAGAAAACAATATTGAGATGTTCTAGATTAAAATTACAGCAGCCAGAGAGTAAAAGAGATAGACTGAACAGTTAGCCTGTTACTAGCTGTGCACCAGCTCTGATAAAAGACTGATCACATTTCTGTATGTCTATTGGAATTGGGGGTTAATCTGCAGGTGACTATTTCTAAGGTTATGTAAAAGAGAGACTAGCCAGCACCATAGAGCCACAGGGCCTCCGCTTACTTGCATATGAATTTTTCAATCTGCTGCCCAGAGCCAATCCACAAGAGCAGGCATTTCTTCATTTATTCAATAAGGAAGGGAGGAGAGAATGATAGAAACATCAATGATGAGAGAGAATCACAGATCAGCTGCTTCCTGCATGCCGTCACAGTAGGGATTGAACCCGCAACCTGGGACCCCTCTGTCCACAGGCCAACACTTGATCACAAACACTAAGCCAAACCAGCCAGGGCCAGACATTTTTTTCTTGCAGAATCTGCCGAGCCTACCCCAGAACTTGCCCTTCCCTTTGTATATAGCTAATTGTCAATCCTTACATCTTTCTCCTTCCTACTTGGTGTATAAAAATGCTTGCAGAACTCAGGGTTGGACATGTTGTCTTTTTTAAAACCACCTGATGGTGGTTTAGATCCTATGCCTCAAGACCACATTCATCTTCTTTCTCCTAACTCCTCTTCTTCCTTTTCTGTTAGCAATGGCAAACCCTGTCTTTAACATAAAATAAAATAAACTTTCAGTCATGAAATTTAAAGTGTTTTTTCTTGTTTGTTTCACAATATAAAACACACCTAAGACAAATTTCTCTTGTTAATATTGACAACTACTTAGAGCCCATCTCCAGAACATTGTGTCAACACAGTCTGATTTACAAAGGCCTTCCTCCAGGAAGGAGAGAAGAGGAAAGTGGGGAAAAAATACCATTCTGCCACGGTTATTTGGTTTTCCCCCTCTACAGTGTACTTAGTAAACATTTGGAAATATTTGCTGATTGAGTCCATTACTCATGTTGCTCTAGTAACAATCATTTATTCATACATACATTCAGGGAACATGAGTGCCCAGTGTTTCTCAGGTGGTGGCTACCAAAGGAAGAAGGTGTGATACTGCTTCTGAGGAGTTCTCACTACACACATAGACCCATGGATAGCTAATCCAATGCTCCATTTTTTAAATTTTATTTTATTGTTTAAAGTATTACACATAGTAGTACATATATCTCCTTCTCCCCCACTCATCTTCCCCCAACAGATTCATTTAATTTAATTTATTTTATTTTATATATATTTTAAATTAATCTTTATTGTTCAGATTATAACAATTTTTCCTTTCCCCCCATCCATTAGTTCCCCTCCACCCAGTTCCCACCTCACCCTCTGCCCTTACCCCCCTGCCCCCAACTATCCTCATCCATAAGTGTATGATTTTTTTCCAATCTCTTCCCGCACCCCACACCCCTTTCCCCCTGAGAGTTGTCAGTCCACTCCCTTTCTATGCTCCTGATTCTCTTATATTCACTAGTTACTACTGTTCATCAGATTTTTTTATTCCCTTGGTTTCTAGATTCACTTGTTGATAGATACGTATTTGTTCAAAATTTTTATCTTTATCTTTTTCTTCTTCTTCCTCTTCTTAAAGAATACCTTTCAGAATTTCATATAATACTGATTTGATGGTGATGAGCTCCTTTAACTTTTTCTTATCTATGAAGCTCTTTATCTGACCTTCAATTCTAAATG